CCATCAGAGAGAATAGCTTGGTCTGTGCAATTAAGTTTCACCCCATCATAAGCACCATCAACCACCTACAATATACTACTAGAATATGAGCTAGCAAAACATTTCTTTAATGATAGACTTGGTTTTGGAGACTTGGTTTTGACGATTGAATAAAATTTATCTCTTGAGATTTATCTCTTTCCTATCATACGCTTCTACCTACGTCATATTCACTTACTTACGAGAACGTCATTACATGTTTGACTGCAATCACTAAAATTTGGCTTCATCATAACAACTTAAATGATAGAAATGCATTTCCCTTAAATTGATGAGCTCTTATCAGAGACTTCATCATGGTTCTATATTATAGCAGTTGATTGGAATTGGATGGTCCATCACTTTTTTTGCGAAGATATAGCTCAAGCACCCGACAACTTAATTCTTGTGCTTTCTTGCGACCTACGAAATTACTGCAATTTGGACCATCGGACGTGACTCTCTTGAGGAAATTATACGGGGAACGACTTAACAACAAATTATTTGCACTTATACGGTTAAAACATAAACATCAGCATAATTACAAAATCATAAAACTTTATTTGCATATATACTATAAAATTAATATAGATTGATTAGATGCAGTTACCAATAAAAAAATCAAAACTAACTCCCTAAAATCACGCATTATTACTCCTTATCTCTCCCACGACTAAATCGATTACCCCCTCAACGCATGTTTCTCTTCAGTAAACCCTACCTTCACTTTTATGACCAAAACCAAGATCCCTCACATAGCCGGTGAACCCCCCCCAATTGGGGCGCCAGTGTGGATGCACATAAGCGGTGTGGACTCAGAAGGCGACATTTGCCGATTCGAAGTGGAGGACCTGCAAGGCGACAAACTCGGAGCTTTTCCCTAAACAGAAAAAAATGACGGTTACGGAGGCCGAACCGAGTTCGCGGAAGGTCTCGTGTATGGGGAGAGTCCGGTCGATGAGTAACCGGCGTCGCGCGAATCCACTGGGAATGGAGGGATAGACGATGGATAAATCAGGGATCGGTGGCGGCGAGCGGAGAGCCGGTTTCTGCGCCAAGGTAATGGAGTTTTCTGTTTTGAGAACGGAAGATGGTGGAGGGGCCAGAGGAGGAGGAGGAGCCGCCGTGGAGGTGTTGCAGGAAAATCAATGTTTTGGTTCAATTTTTTTAGGGTTTTTGGACTCTGTGTAATCAGCCAGCACATTGAAACCCGCAGATCAATTTGTACATTGAAATTAGTTTATGATCAGTATATGTACCGTATATGTACATGTACTGGGATATGTACAATTAATATACATCTTAGTTTATGTTTGGTATACTAGTTTATGTACAAATTAGTTTCTGAATGGATGTTTGTTTTTTTCTGTTTTCAATATTTATCACAGTTTATGTTATATTATAAGATTTTTTGTTGAAACGAAATTGACTAGCATAAACT